GTAGGCAAAAAACAACAGTCAAAGAGCAGGAGTGCAACACTGAATCTCATCGCTTGTGCCAGCTATGCCTAACCATAGTAATCACGGACTGCTTACCAACAAGTTGCAGCATTTCTGTATGCCTGTCATCTACATTCATCTTTATTGTGCCTTATGTTAAAACATAATTCCAGTCCCAGAGCTGAACTCCTCATGTGCCTCCTACAGCCATGGTTTAAGCTGAAAGATGACAAGATTTCTTTGGTCAGAAAGAAGGAGCAAAGTGGTGTTTGGTAGCTTAGCATTAGGAGCGGGGATGAGGGAGGCCTATGTATCAGGTTTGAAGACTGCTGAAGTCTTGTAGCTGAGAACCAAAGATGAACTCCTGACTTTTCCTAACAGCTTCTGTAGGTGCCTCTTTGTTCAGCTTTTGTGCTCCCACACACTTTGTTAAGGTGTTTGTCTGAAGGTGTTATAAGTGGATTCTTATACGGGGTTGAGATGTTTTGCCAAGTTGCCCATGATACTCCACTCCAGCACAGCTCAACGGGGTCTGAGACTGTCCCACTGCCATCCTGGCCCAGCCATCCACCCTCACCTTAAATTCATCACCCTCAGATGGTTGCAGGGAAGGAGGTTGCCAAAGCACAGAGGCTCACATAAGGAAGCAGTCTGGAAGCAGGGACATAGGGCTCCAGGACTGGATGGACCAAGAGCAGTCCTGCTGGAGGTGGGACAAAGTGCCCCATGGCTCATGGCATGGGATCGCCCTTAGTGCCTCGCCTGTGGCCACACGCATCAATGCCAGAGCAGAGGCAGAAACTTGGATCCAGTAGTCCAGGGGCTGAGATGTGGCTTTGGAAAAGGCAGTCTTGTTTTAACTCAGCTTGTGATTTCAGGGCACATTCAAGAAGCGGTTTGCAAATCCAGAGTGCCTTCTAACAGCACCCTGGGCCTTTGATCTCTGACTCTTACAGAGAACTTCAGAACCTGTGAAAGCTGAGAGAAACCACCCCTGCCACTACCTGGTGCTCACCAGCTTCACCAGCATTGCTGGCCCAGGAGGTACGTCACCACTGTGGGGCGGTGACTCGCCTCGACCCCGCAGTGAGTTGGGGTGGGATTGAAAAGTGCAAAGACCTCAGCTCTCCCCAGCAGATCTCACCCTCCAACGTTTCCTTCCAGCAGCGAAACATGTCAAGTTTTATCTGCGAGATGAATGTGAACGGACAAAAAGAACAACTTCTCATGAATGAAAAATGGTGCAGATTTGAAGAACTTTCTCGACAGTCCCAAGAGCAGTGCAGGGCTGAAGTAACTGAAGCAGCATCGTGGTTTGTCTCTTTGCAGCCTGAGGTCTGACTGACTGTCTCCTGCCGTGGATAGTAACTGATAAATATTCGCTGTTAAAAGCGGTTCAGCGTTCTTGGGGATCTTTCTTAGTCAGCCTGACCGCCTCAGGTTGAACAGCTCTCAGATTTTGGTTTACGCACGACAGCTTTGTTACAGAAATAAAGGACTGGTCAAAAGCACCTCCATACACGCCCATGTTTAAAGGAAAGTAAAACCAGTGCAGTGCTGGGGCCGTAATAATCAGACTTGTACACATTATGGTCAGCCCTGGTTGACCACGTGGTAGTAAACAGTCATCTGGAAATGGGTGTTTGAGGTTTGCAGGGAGGTGTTATCAGTACTTGTAATGTTACATTCTGCACAACAGAGCATTTTTCCCATCAGTTGGTCCAGGATGAAGTGTGTTTGCAAGATCTGTCTAGCTGCTTCACCAGTGTTGTTCATTTTTCTTTTTTGGTTGAGCTGATACAAGTATGAGTGAATCTCACTAAATGACTCCCCTTTGAAAGTGGCTGCTGGCCAATCTGCAGTCAAACATCCTTCCTGTTCTTTCATCGAGCTGCAGCGAGTGGGGAGGGGAGCAAAGCCGTGCAGGGCTGCTGGGGACTCATCTGAAGCAACATGCCATGCCACAGAACATTAGGATTTGGGGAGTGGTGCTGCAGGCAGTCATTTCCTTCTGGTCTTCATCTTGGTTTTTTGTTTTTTCCCTATTTCCCGTATCTGCATTTTGTTTGGGTTTTCAGCTACTAGATTCACCATGTTCTAATGAAACATGATTTCTGGTCTTTTGTCAGAGCTTTGGGGTTTGCTGGTCCTTTTGGGTTTTGCATTTCTTTTGTTTTCAGCTCAGTTTGTTTTGTTTGAATTTTTGTTGTGAAGAGGTTGTTTGTCTGTGATTTATTGGACTGGGGTGTTACTCAGGGAGGATTTTGCAGTGGCAGTGTCTTTTCCTTTTTTCAAATTGCTTCCCACCAGTATGTTATTTCAGTCTTAACTGAACATTTTCTCTCTGGCCAAAGAGAATGTGATTTATGTTATCTGCTCTGTGGCATAAGAAATTGTGCATTGTGATCCGTGGGATAGGACTGTGCAGTGGTAGCAGTGGTACAGCAATACTGGCAGGAGATGGGAGCAAACAGAAGCTGCGTCTCCTCAGACCTGTTTGCTGCTCACAAGAACCAACTTTTCACCTTAGGTTTGCCCCCCAAGGTGGAAACTCAAGGAAGGAGTGCTTAGGAGAGCACGGTGCCTCCCTGAGCATGAGGAGGAATAAGTGCTTCAACCTTATGCGATGAAGCCGTCATCCTGCATGCCTGGTGGGTTCAGGGAGGACAGTTTCACTACTGTGTCCCTGCAGTATTTAATGGCTGTGCAAACTTGCAAGATTTTTTCTTGTCCTATCCCAGGAGCCCTACAAACAAGAGAGAAGAAGCTGAGTTACCGAGTATTCAAATTTTCTGTTGAGATATTGCCACTGCCTTCATGGCAGTGAGTTTATAGGTTAATGTTAGAGAGTGAAGAGCTCAAATGCTGCTTATGCTATTTAGACTGTTATTCTCACTTGTTCAGAAAGCAGTAACTGCAGCTAGCAGTTTATCACATGCCTAGCAACACCTGTCTTGGGTAGTGTTGATGCTTGCTGTGAGAAGTCACTACCAGTGCATGGCCCAGGACCACTCTTCTCTAGGCATGGGGAAAGTGAATCTTCAGTGGCACTTTGTTTCTTTCTGTGCCCTCCAGCCAGCCCTGCCCTCCTGAAATGCACCCCAACCAAGGACCAGCAGAACATCCCTGCTGCTGCACTCGTAAGACCTCCAGCCCAAACGCACCAACACGGACGGCTGCCTGTCAGCCCGAGACAAGTTCAGAGATAAGCACAGGAGGTTCTCAATTTCATGGAAGCCAGCTCAGACTAAAAGGCAGCCCCTTCATTTCAAGAAACCTCATTTTTCATTTGTAAAACACTTTCATTCAGAAAAAAAAGTAAGAGAGGGGGGTTGGAAGGGAAGCAGAGTGCTACCTCTCCCCAACCGTAGCAAATACACCTGCACAGCCATTTCCATTCTCTGAAAAGAAGTTTTAAAACACATGTTTTAATGGGGCACCAGCAACTTCAGCAGTTGCCTGTTGCTTCCTAACTCCATTTGCGTGTAACGTTGTCAGATGACAACTGCTTGGGCTGAAATATTCCAGGTTGGAGTCTGCTCTGGTACATTCTTTCTGCCTGGAAATTTTAAGTGCTAATAACTTATCTGGAAGAAAATAAGCTCTTCTTTCCCCCATGCTTCAAGAAATTTGGTGACCTTTCTTTTCGTGCCCCCAGGCTTTGGAAAAAGGAATTGAAATATGACAGGTTTTTGGCTTGTGTGTCAGGAACATGCTGCTTGCCTGCAAAAAAAGCTGCATCCAATTTTTGCCAAGTTATAAGCCAGTGAAGAGAAAATCATCTTATGATTACTCACTAAAGCACTAAAGATTAAAAAAAAATGCTCCAGAAATTCTTTTTTTCTCATCTCACAGCTCCTCGTGAGGTTCTCACAGGTCTGCACCCAAGCAAAAGTGAAATCTTATGAGAAATGGTTCCCTAGTCCCCCACCAACTGCCTGGGGCTAGAGGTGGAAGGGTGGAAGGGTGTGAGATTGGCCTCAAGGGAGTCTAAAACAAATGGCAGAGAGAAACAAAGGCATGGGAGAAGGGAGAGAGAACAAGACCCAAGAGGATCCAGCAGGCAACAAAAGACCAAGTGCCTGGAGCACTGGGGGGACTGTATGAGAATTCCTCATGAGGATGGCAACTTCAAGTACCTCTAGGAGCTTAAGCAGCAGGCTGCAGCCAAAAGGTCCGGCATACCGTCAGTGTATCTTGCTGCTTTAGTTAGCTGTCTTTCCATTTCTGCTATCTTGAGCTAAGGAAATAGCCTGCCAAAGTAAGGGTAATGCAAATCTCACATGGAGAACACTAATGTTGATTTAACTACATAGCCTTCATCATTTTCTCCTCTATAATATTGTATATGAAGTGCAAAAGAAAAAGTAAAAAAGCAAAAGACAAGAAAAATCAACCCAAAGCAAGAGATCTGAAACTTTTCTGATTAAAGAAACTTCCTACAAGAGTTCAAGAAGAGGCACTTTCAACAGCAGTCTTTGTAAATAAGTGGGCTTTGTCAACGATGAGTGGGTTTGTAAATGAAGGGATGACTGACAAGTTCAACACCTACCATGTCAAACAGAGCTACAAAGGAGGCCAGCACCTCTAAATCGTGGTATGTGAGGCCTTCCTAAAGCCTGTGATCTGTGCCAAAACTGCCCCTTACCTCTGTTTTTCTTTTCTAGGTTCACTGAGACACATTTTGTGGGCTTCGGTTGCATTACAGAATCACAGAATGGCCAGGGTAGGAAGGGACCTCAAAGATCATGAATCTCCAACCCTCTGCCACATGCAGGGCCACCAACCTCCACGTTTAATTCCAGACCAGGCTGCACAGGGCCCCATCCAACCTGGCCTTGAACACCTCCAAGGACGAGGCATCCACAAGCTCTCTGGGCAGCCTGTTCCAGTACCTCACCACTCTCTGGGTAAAGAATTTCCCCCTGATGTCCGACCTAAATCTCCCCTCCCTCAACTTAAAACCATTTCCCCTTGTCCTGCACTCTTCAACAGTTCTTGTCTCCTTTTGCACCCACTGAAGCATTTCCCACTGGCAAGAACTGGTGGCTAATCACTTCAGGCGCAAACTTTGCACAGAATTATGGGATTTCCTCCTTTAAGGTAATGAACACAATTGCTCATAAAAATCTGTTGTTGGTGTTTTTGAATTCTTGGTTTTGATTTAGGTGATAGGTACATTTTCATCATCACCACCGCAATCCTGGTCCCACCTCCAAAAATTGGTGCAGGAGCTTTTCCCTTATGGCTCTGAAAGGAAATGGGATCTCTCTTTAATCCCCAGCTTAGCTGTTACTTCTCTCCTGTGATCACTAGTGAATTGCTCCGCTCATTCAGAATCAACCCTGGGACTGTGCCTGCCTTCCACTGCTGCCACACAGCCTATCAGGGCCACCCCACCATTAGGCCAGCCAGGACCTTGAAGCCCTAGGGAAGGGTGTAAGCAAGTTCATCCAACCCTATGTGGTGTTAAGAATTCACCTGACAACTGCAAAGAGGTCACAAGGCCCCCCAGCCCTATCTGCAACTGCATGCATGCCTGCTGCCTCTTTTCTCAGCTCCCCATGGGCATGGAGAAGCAGACAGTACTCTATCAAGGACAACAGTTCTTGGGCAAAGGCAGTGTCTGTGACTGTAGGCTCACCAGCAGGAGACATGGGGCCTTCCCTTGGCTTTGTTCCTGTGGCCAGGAAGCCACAGGGCTGTTTACAGCATCCCTGAGTGCCCATGGGAGATGCAGGTCAAGCACATAAGGCTGCAAAAAGTGCCATTCCCAACACTGCTAGGTGTTTAACTCCATTCGAAAATGCCATTCACGTTTTGAGTTGCTTTTTTTCATTTTTATCAAAACCTAGATCTTTTTGTTATCAGCCCTCTCTCTGTGTGTCTCTTAAAGGTGGTGGTAGAGAAGGGATCTGATTAGTTCGACTTCCATTCTCCTGCCACTTGCCTCATCGATGCAGACAGGAAGCATCTGAGGACAAGAAATGTCCCCTATTACATGCTTCTGTTCTGGGTAACCTCATTTTGGTTTGGTGTCTAGACAGTAATGCAGAGGAGAGCATTAATGAAAATGAAGCGCCGAATTTTAGAAGGTTCTGCTTGACAGCCTCACCGCTGCCCTCACCAAAGATGAAGCCAAGTCTTTGGGTTTTTAGGGGGTTGGCATTTGCTGGAGCTTAGGAGGGATTTGTTCTTTTTTCCTTTGGGCTCCAACAAGCGAATGACCTGATTTGTGTGTGTACTCATCACGAGCTGGTTTAGTTAAACAAAGTAGGAAGCAGCAGAAAGAGACGTGCTGATTATTTTTTTTCAGAAGTTGCTTGGTACTGCTGGAAAAAGAAAAATAGGTCACTTCAGGTGACCAGTATGGAAAGAGATCCCTCACATTCAGATTCCCTAATGCCGAGCCTAAGTAGCGTCCCAGAAGAGCATTTGCTTTTTATCCATCTCCACTTTTAACCGTATGGGCCAAAGGTTTATGTTCATGTGACTTTCCTACATAGATAATTCAAGCTGCTCAAGTGATCTCTGTTCTGAACTTTATGAATCTTTGTTTATGTTGCCATGGCTTTGTAAAGATGCCAAGAGAGAATGAGACTGGCCTCCTGGTAATGTTTGTTGTGAATCACTGTCGTATGCAGAGACTGATTCATCAGTTTGGGAATCTTCGAAGTAAGTGCACCTCCAATTTGCATCACCGTGAGGCATATGGAGGAAAGGGTGCTGGGAACACTGTGGTTCCTTGAGACGTTTTGTTGATGGCTGTAGAGATCTTCGAAGTTGTAGACATAGTGAAAGCAAGCCTGCTGCTGCCTCCAGAGCCAAGGTGCCTACACTGAAAGTTGAAGCACCACTGCTCTCTTTCCCTCTCTTTGAGTATAGTTTTTAGGCTTGAGGTAGTATTGCGTAGCTCTTCACTACAGGAAAATACGACTCTTCATTTTGCAGGCTGGTGATACAAAATAAAAAAAAGAAAACCAACAAAACAGGAAGGAAAACATTAATGAAAGCTCTAATGCTCCTTGGGGAATATGAGGAGACACAGGTTACATTGAAGATAACAAAAAAAAAAAAAAAAAAAAGAAATAAAAACAAAAACATCACCACCAACAATAAAAAGCAGCAGCAGTACCAAGAGTTGGATGGGTGAATGCTGCTCTTCAGAGCAGTCCCTGCAATGGGGACTCCCCAGCCATGAGGTCCCCAGCTCTTGCGGCAGCTCAGCAGCTCCCTCCCCTCCACCACTTCTGCACTGCGATTCATATGGTGACTGCTGCAGTAAAATCAGGAGCAATGAGGACTATATATAAAAGGGCTGGAGTAAAGGCAAGCGGCACCTCGATTCTACTTCTGAGTAAGCCTTTTGTTTTTAGCAAAATAGGCACACCATTGCTGCTCCAGCCAGCCACAGGCTCAGCTTTCCCTGTGGATGCTGGCAAGGAGCAGCAGATCTGAGCCTCAGAACTGCAGAGGAGAGGAGTTCCACCTCCTCATGCTGGTGGCCAACCTTGGCTGGTGGCCTTCCTCTGGAGACAGAGGCATCCCCCTGCTCTGCTGGTCTGCCTATACAGATGGGTGGCTGGTGAGGCTGAGCTGGGCCGGAGCCGGAGGCAGTGGTGCTGGTACAGAGCAGCGGCCACTGCCTGCAAGTGGGCTACTCTTCCATTTGTTGCTTTTTTAATTATTTTAATTTGTATTTATTTGTTTCTCAGAGGTTTTTTTCAACAGAAAAACTTTGAAGAAATGTTGCTTTTCTCCCCTCTCGCTGAATAAAGTAAAAAATAAAATAGGAAGCCCAAATCCCAAATGTCAGAAAGCTCTCCGCTTCTTCTGCAAAACAGAATTCTTATTGTCCGGCAGCCCCGACTTATTGACAGGCAGAAGCAAAGCAGGCAGACCTGTGACGGCAGTGGGGGAAAAAAGAAAAAAGAAAAAAGAAAAAAGAAAAAAAAAAAGAAAACTAGAAAGAAGACAAACACCCTCCTACACTGGATGCAGCTAAATTCCCAAGAACGATGCTGCTGCCATGAGTGGGGCTTGGGCCCTGGGTACCTGAGGTGGTAGGGAGCTGCCCTGCCGTGCCCCACAGCCAGCCCATCAGCTGGGAGCAGCCCAAATTCCCCACATCACTCAGAAATAAGGGAATAAGTAAAAGTTCCAGTTCCAGCATCTAATAGGGTGTTCCTGGTTTTGTTTCCAGCTGTTGAGGCCTACTTGGTGTTTCCTGCCCCAAGGTGGTTGTGCAGTGCAGGGGAGAGAAGAGGCTTTTCAAACAGCTGGGACCAGTTAAGCAGATGGCAGGTGTGTGCACAGAGGAAGATGCCATTACACGCTGCTGGGCTACGCTGTCTGGTGAGTACCTGACTCACTCTGGAGCTGCTCCAGCCCTATGGCCCATGGCTGTGACGTGGGCCTGCCATCACTGTGCTCCTGGAGCACACTAGCCTTGCCACCTGTGTGGCACGCCATGAGCCCTGCTGTGGCACAGGGACAGTAGGCATTAGCAGAGGGGTGCCCAGGCAGCCGGCCCATCTCCTGCACCCCACAGCATTTTCTATCTCACCCTCAGCCTGAGCCTCTGCGGCATAGTGCTGCCTGTGCGTGGCGGCAGCCAGACGCTCGGCATCGTTCCCATGGCAGACCCTTTTCTTTTCTTGTAAGAGAACTGATTCAAGTAATTTCTGACTCTATATTCCCACCTTTGCTTGACAAACAGAGCAGGGAAATGCCATTAACACGCAAGCGTTCCTCAAACCACCTTGTTTTTGCTAGTCGTGCAATGCCAGTCACAGTGGAAACACCACTTCCTCCCACATGCTGTCAGTACCTAGACTGTAGTTATTCGCTTTTAATTGAATTAGCCAGCCCAACGCTTTTCTGTTATCCTATACAAAGCCACTACGTTCTGCAAACACCTTGCCGAAGTGACTGAATCAGACAGTGAGATAATTCTTTCCACCACATAACTCACTTTGGTTAGAAATTGGCCAGCAAAACATGGGCAGCTTTGCTCACGAGCTGTGAGGTTCACGGGATGTCCTTTGCAGTTAAGTAACATCGCAGACCTGCTCCCGTTTGACCAAAGCCATCTCTTTTTTTTTAAACTTCACTGTCACAGGGAGTGAAATCTCAGCCCACTAAGTCAGAATTTCAAGCTCCCGTGCCCTGCTCTGCTCAGTCTTCACAAGCATCACACGAACACCTCCATTTCCACCAAAATAGTACTGCTGCTGTTGCTGTTGTTGTTAACGTGATTGAGTGCAGCTCGGAATAGTCCTTAGACAGAAAAGAATACCTTTGCTTTAACAAGGAGGGATAAATAGCACTTGCACTTTCTGTGCTTGCTTTGAACACTCAGCTGCTCCCAGTGCATTTAAAAGCAGGTCTGGGTACATTCTGGGAGAAGACAGACACAGGATTGCTTCAGGAGTTGTTGGGTGGCTTTGGACAGCCTCTGGTCATGGGTTTACTCAAGCTGACACTGACTTTCCATCTGCCCCTTAGCGAACTTCACCAAATGTTTCCCCATTAACAGAACAGACTGTGACCTTCTTCTCTATCTCTCTTGCTCAACCCATTCTTATACAAGACCCAAAATAGAGGAGCTGCGAGCCTGGAAATGCATTATATGCACTGCAGTCCCATACGTGCTGGTACACATCCTTGATCCTGTACAGCTCATAGTGATGCCTTCTACTAGGAGCAGTGCCATGGCATTGCCAGTCCAGTGGGCTGACACTTCCCAAGGAGGAAATAAATGTTGACTTCTGATGGAAGCTGGCACCCATAATAAATTTAATGGTTAATTAGACTGAGTTGTACTTAAAATCAGCCTACCTGAACCATGAAACACTTTGATGCCTTGCTGAGAGCAGGAGTTGCTGTCTTTACTACAGAAATAATGGTGTAATGCATCAGTGGCTGAAGAGCAACATACGTTATCTACCTGGACTTCAGTAAGGTCTTTGACACAGTCCCTGTAACATTCTTCTCTGGATTTGATGGGTGGACAGTTCAGTGGATGAGTAACTGATTACACAACTGTACCCAGAGAGTGGTGATCAATGACTCAATGTCAGGATTGAGATCAGAAACAGATGATGTCCCTCAGGGATCAGTACTGGGGCTGACTGCCTTTTAATATCTGCATCAGTGATATCAACAGTGGGATCAAGTGCACCCTCAGCAAGTTTGCAGATGACAAGAAGCTGTGCGGTGCAGTCAACACACCTGAGGGACAGGATGCCATCCAGAGGGACCCAGGTAGGCTTGAGCAGTGCGCCCAGGAAGCCTCACGAGGTTCAACAAGGCAAGTCTTGCACCTGGGTTTTGGCAATACCCACTACAACCTGGGGAAAGCCATGCTGAAAAGCACTTGGGGGTCCTGGTGGACGGAAAGCCAGATATGAGCCAGCAATGTGCCCTCACAGCCCAGAAAGCCAACCATATATTGGGCTGCATCAAGAGAGGTGTGGCCAGCAGGTCAAGGGAGGTTGATCCTGCCCCTCTGCTCTGCATTAATGAGGCCTCATCTGGAGTACTGTGTCTAGATGTGGTATCCTCAGTACAGGAAAGACGTGGACCTGTTGGAGACCATCCAGAGAAAAGCCTTGAAAATGACCCAAGGGATGGAACATCTGCCCTACGAGGACAAGCTGAGAGCTGGGGTTCTTCAACCTGGAGAACAGAAGGCTCTGATAGTGGCCCTTCAGTACATAAAGTGGAGCTGTAAGAAAGAAGGGGACATACTCTTTAGTGGGATCTGTTGTGATAAGAGTAGGGGAAATTGTTTCCAACTAAAAGAAGAGAGATTTAGACTTTGTATACTGAAGATGTTTTTTACAGTAAGGTTGCCCAGAGAGGTGGTGGAAGCCCTGGAGAAACTCAAGGTCAGGCTGAACGAGAGTCTGAGCAACCCAGTCTTGCTGTAGGTGTCTCTGTTCATTGCAGAGGAGTTGGACTAGACAGACTTTAAGGGTCCCCTCCAGTTCTAAGTATTTTATTATCATTTAACTTCTCTCCCCAAATACAGAGCTTCAGAGAACTGGGCAGGAACACGTGAGTAGCTGTGGGGAGATGCTTACATGAAGCCAAGGAAACTTTGCTTGACTTTTTTGAGGAACTGAGGAATTATTCAGTGTCCCACTTTCACTAAGGCTTCACCACATCAGGACCACTTGTTAACTTTTACTCCTCTCAAAAACATTCTTCAGTATACACACTGCTCCTTATCTGATCTCTGGGCTCTCAGTTCCTTCTCTATGACCACCTTCTCTCCCTCGGCATCATCTTCTTGTCCCTCAGCATGGCCTTGCTTTGACCTCGGCTGCATCACCGGTTGTGGCTCCTCTGTATTTTTCAGCATAGAGGCACACAGCTAAACTCCTTCAGCAGCTTAGTGTCTCCTGCTGTTCTCTGCCTCTTGAGCTTGGCCTATTCTGGGAAGCTCTATCCCAGTTCAAAATTTGTTTTTTTCCCATTCTCCCTATATGACTGAAAGCCTTCTTTTAAGATCCTCTGAGAACATTTTTCTCCATCTCCTGAAGACCTCATCTCACAGCACCGAATCTCAAAATACAAACAGCTCCTAATTTCTGAACATCACCATCCTATTCCTCTTTCCTGTCCTCCTTTCCTCCTCTTCAACAGAGGAGGCATCACCCTCCTCAGTGGAACAGTGCCTTCATCACCCCTCATTGTAGTTCTTCATTTGACCCCTTTCTGCAAGCTCTACCAGAATCCAGGCACAACTCCAAAACCTCCACCTCCAGTCGGCCACTGCACAGCCTCCTTCCCCACACCCAAGGCCCACCCTTTGGGATCCTCTCACTCCTTTGTCCTCTCCTCCACCCACCAAAGTGGCCTCCAGGCTTGCTCCTGGCCTATGGCTGCCCCCTCTCCTCTCACATCCCTTTCCTACCCTCATTGTTGGGCAGTTGCTTCTCTTCTCCCACCCCACAGGCAGCTTTCCCCCACTACATGCAGCAGCTAACACCTACTCTCCTCTTTTTCCAGCCATTTTTAGCTTTCCTCTTCCTTTTTTTGGTGGGGGAAGAGGGGGAGAGTGATGACTTTATGCATTGATTATTTTTTTTTTATGCCTTTCCCCATGTCTGTATGTGCAGCCTTAATTCTGAGAAATCGCTGACTTCTCGTCCCGGCCAAAACCCACTTCTCACTCCAGAACTGCTCTCCCCTCATGAGAGGCAGGGCAAATGTACAACTGCAGCATGCACAGAATGGCCCTGGTAACCCTCCATGACACCTGACAGATGCATTGTGCTCCAGCAGCTCTCCTCATCACCACTTGCTCTCCATCTCCATACATCCCCTTGGCTCCGCCCCTGTACCATAAAGACCAATGCTGATTGTCCCTGCATCCTGCCAGACATTTATTTCCTTCCTTGTTTTTATTGCCAGGCTAGGGCCACATCCATATCTTCTGGAGATCTCCAAGTGTAGAGACACCACCATCTCTCCAGGAAACATATGCAGGTCACCTGCACAGCAAAATAGTGAAAACAGTTGTGGATCCAGAGTTACTAACTTTGGGGAGCATCAAATCCTGCAGTTTGGTCTCCATGGTTTAATAGAGTTCAAAAATAGACACTCATTCTTGGCTGGAGTCTAAAACACTGAGTACCCAACACATCTGGAGAGTCTGCAGCAGGCTTCCACTCCCACATGCCCTCTTAATCTTTCTGTCTCCTCTCCCAGCACAGTTTTCTCATAAAACTTCTAGAACTTCATCACCACTGTTTCCTTCAGACATGTGGGCCAACTGCATAAAATGTCATTTCAGAGGGGTAAGGGTAGCTACCCACCCACAAACACATGCGCTGTGTGCAAAACCCTAAATTTACATTTTTTCTATGATTTTTTCTTAAATTATTTTGACTTTCATGCTAAAAACCAAGCTAAGCTAAGCACGCGTGGCCAAGTATCTGCAGCGAGCAGGCTGTGCAATGGCAAGCAACATAGCAGATGCACCTTGAACTTCAAAAAAACAAGTCCTTTCGCCCCAACTTCCTGCACAAATCCTCTTCACAGCCCCTTGTGAAATCTTCTGCTACCTCCCTAAAATGAGCTCGGGGTTTCCAGAAGGGTATGGATCCTGAGATGTTCAGAGCAGGGGCTCATTTAGCTTTTCTGTGCCCCACAGCACGCATCCAGACAGCTGCAGGTAGGCATGCATGCCACAGCTTCAGCCCCAAGGCAGCCACCAGGGGTGTGGGAGCCGTGGGTCTGATTCATGGCTGTGTCACCTCTGCAGAGGATCATGAAGGTTAGGCAGGTTCCCCTGGCAGGAACCAACCAACCAAAGCCTCGAGCTGATCTCAAACTTCCTTTTTGTGGTCTATGTTGCCTCGATTTATTCATTTCCTTGTAATTTACAGATAGCCATCAATGCTTGCTATATTTAAACGGTGCCTGTATCTGCGGGGATTGTAGGTAAGCCATTTTATTCACACAGCAATGGTTTTAAAGGAAAGTGAGACTTCAGAGTCACCCTTCAGTCTGGTGCTGTCTCGTGCACGGGTGACACACATCTGGTCCATGGGACGTTGTGGGCCACCAGGTAAATCCCCTTCTAGGTCTCACGCCACGGGGTTGCTCTGCTCCTCCACTTCCTGCTTCCCCTCCACCAGGAACTGTCCCAGCTCTCTGCCTTCCATCACCCAGCAGTGGCTGTGCCAAGATGGTGAAAGCCCAGTAGCACAAAGAAGCTGTGATGAGCAGGAGCACATCATTCCTACATCACCCCCACAATGGGGAAAAAAAAAAAAAATGCAAAGGGTTTCATTTAAAAAGGAAAACAAAAAAAGAAATTTGCTCTATTCCCATGCAAGCATCTCTCATTTGTTTCACGGATTTCTTCTGGGAAGTCCATGTTATTTCCTCGTTAGCTCAAACCTGGCAAAAGCTACCATGACCAGCTTAATCTTCATGATGGAAACCAACATTAAAAATCACGCAGCAGTTTCTCTTCTGGACAGAGAGTCTTCAACTATTTGGGGAGAAGAATAGATAGGGGAAAAGGATGGCGTGATTTCTTCAGACCTGGTCTGGGTTTTTCAGCCGTTTTGTGAAAACCCCTTGCTCTAAACAGCTCTGACCTTTCCTATTTCTTGGAGACTGACTGACGTCTCTACAGTAGATATATGGTGATGTCACTCACCCTGTTTTTGAAGTCTTCCTCTCTCACTACTCCTCGCATGGGTTTTTCTGTGGGAGGGAACAGTCATGAAGAGGGCTGAACCTCTCAATCATGTGTGAAAAGAGGAAATGAAAATGAGTTTTTGGAGTTGTAGCTAGACTTCACCCATAACTCTGGTTTCTGAAGATATAAAAATCTTGAATTCCAGGAGAAATTTGAAAGGGATACCTACCAAAAATACAGGTCATCGAGCTCAAAAATGATTTTATCTGAATCAAGACACTCTAGGCTAGAAGCTGGAAATTCTCAGCCTTCACTTTTACAAGAGTCTTATGGCTTTAAGAGGAGCGTGAGAAGCAATTCAATTGCCTTTTTGAGAAAAAAAAAAAATAATATGCATGTGATGGCTGAGGCTGAATTAAGCTGCACACCAGCTTCCTATGGGAAAGCCTAGCATGAATGATTGCCATGATTACATTTTGCTCAGCGTTTCCTGGTTTCTAGGGTAAGAATCATAACTGGCAGAACTCAAGGACACCCTTTCTCATTATTATATTGTTGCCCAAAGCCTAACCTTCAAAGGCAATGATCATCATGCTTGACACTATGCAAATGGTAAAAAGCCTTCCCTGCCTTTATATTGTAGCGTTAACACAGACAAAGACTGAGAGAAAACCCACGAGGGACAGAAGCATTAACTAGACCCACAACAAGGTATTTAGCCATCATTACGTGTTGGCTGCAAATCTCAGTAAAGAAGAAAATTTCTTGATGAACATGTGCCAAAACTCATACCTATAGCAAATCAGGAGGAGAGGATGCAGGACTACATGAGGTAGACAGTCCCCAGATAGATAAGTAGGACTTACACATGAACAAAGGCTAATGCATTTTGGAGACAAAAAAAGTTCAAGCACTTTCAAATTGAACTTAGAACTTAAAAGTATCTTACTTCTGTCTGGGCTCTGATGGCATTCCCAGCTCAGAAGAGCCATTAGGACACAGAGTATGCAACCTGGAGAACTGAGAAAGTCAGGGCATCCCTCTAACTGCCAAATTCAGATTCAAACATCTTTTCTTGAAGAAAGTCCGAAAGTCAGAAAGTAAGGCAGACAACACAGTGAGGATGTGATGAAATGAGTTTGACACACATGTAGATACACATATTGCACTAATACAGCATAGAGGGCTTAGCAAGTGCATTTCTGCTGCTGAGGTGCAAGAACCTGCTCTAAACTCCTCACCAAGCAGATACGCACACTCACAGAGCACATCTTCTGAAGGAGCTGGCTGAGGTGGTTGCCGAGCCTCCCTCCATCATTTTTGAAAAGTCGTGGCTGTCAGGTGAGGTCCTGGATGACTTCAGGAAGGGTCACGTCACTCCCGTTTACAAGAAAGGGAGCAAGGAGGACCCTGGGAACTACAGGCCGGTGAGTGTCACCTCTGTGCCTGGGAAGATCATGGCACAGATCATCCTGGATGACATGCTGGACCACATGAGGGACAGGCGTGTCATCTGTGACAGCCAGCACGGCTTCATCAGGGGAAGGTCATGCTTGACCAATCCGGTGGCCTTCTATGATGGAGTGACGGCATCGGTGGATAAGGGAAAGGCGACCGATGTCATTTACCTGGACCTGAGCAAGGCCTTTGACATGGTCCCCCACCACATCCTCATCACCAAATTGGAGGGATGTGGATTTGATGGGTGGACCACTCGATGGATAAGAAACTGGTTGAAAGGCTGCAGACAGAGGGTGGTCATCAATGGCTCCATGTCCAGGGGGAGGCCGGTAATGAGTGGTGTCCCCCAGGGCTCTGTCTTGGGACCAGTGCTCTTCAACATCTTTATCGATGACATCGATGTAGGAATCAAGTGCACCCTCAGCAAGTTTGCTGATGACACCAAGCTGAGCGGTGCAGTCGACACGGTTGAAGGAAGGGCTGCCATGCAGAGGGACCTCGAGAGGCTAGAAAGGTGGGCCCAGGTGAACCTGATGAGGTTCAACACAGCAAAGTGCTAAGTTTTGCACTTGGGCCGGAGGAATCCCAGGCATCCGTACAGGCTGGATGGAGCGGTCCTTGAAAGCAGCCCTGTGGAGAAGAACCTGGGGGTCCAGATAGATGAAAAACTTAATATGAGCCAACAGTGTGCTCTTGCAGCTCGGAGGGCAAATGGTATCCTGGGGTCCATCAAAAGAGGGGTGGCCAGCAGGGACAGGGAGGTGATTGGCCCCCTCTACTCTGCTCTTGTGAGGCCCCATCTGGAACATTGCGTCCAAGTGTGGAGCACGCAGTACAAAAAAGACAGGGAACTGTTGGAGAGGGTCCAGAGGAGGGCCACTAGGATGACCAGGGGATTGGAGCACCTCCCCTATGAGGACAGGCTGAGGGAGCTGGGCTTGTTCAGCCTAGAGAAAAGAAGGCTGCGGGGTAACCTCATTGCAGCCTATCAATACCTACAGGGAGCCTACAGAGGGAAGGGGAATCAATTCTTTGAAAGGGTTGATATGTGTACGACAAGGGGAAATGGTTTTAAGTTGAGGGAGGGAAGATTTAGGTCGGACATCAGGGGGAAGTTCTTTACCCAGAGAGTGGTGAGGTACTGGAACAGGCTGCCCAGAGAGATTGTGGATGCCCCGTCCTTGGAGGTGTTCAAGGCCAGATTGGATGGGGCGCTGGGCAGCCTAATTTAGCATTAAACGTGGAGGTTGGTGGCCCTGCATGTGTCAGGGGGGTTGGAGATTCATGATCCTTGAGGTCCCTTCCAATCCTGGCCATTCTGTGATTCTTTCCAGGAGCCTCATTGATGCTGTCAGTTGTCATTTCTGCATGGCCAGGAAAACCATTAAAAGCAAGGGTGAACAGTCAAACCAGTGTGCCCACACATTTCTGGATTTCAGCCCATTCCAGAGCAAGAATGCAGAAGCCAATCTTGAAATCAGAACAGAGCAAACCCATGGGTCAAAGATGAAGCTACCTCCCAAGAATACGGTGAACAAACATTGTCTGTACTTTCTGCAGAAGTCGTCTACATCTGTTTTTCCTTTGCCTGAGACAGCATTTGTGTATAATGTCGGATCTGCTTTTTTGAGGGAGAAGGAAATGATATGCTGAGCCTGGAAGATAGATTTCAGAGAAGTGACCAGTGTGTGTCCTGGTCTCCATCAGTAGCACTGTCACTGCCAGCAGGCCTGCAGAGGCATGAGAGATGGTTGTGCTGTGCCAGCAGTGCAGAAAAAATAAACATGCATTTGCAAAATGAAGCCCTGCATTTCATTTCCATTGTTTTCCAGGGCAGAGATCTACGCACATTTAAGATCTAAGAGCTGAAAAAGAAATGAACAGGGCTCTACTCTTTCTTGACTTTTCCTTTTCATGAACCACCACCCCATATGTGGCCACTTGGGCACTGGCATTCAGGTAATAGCCCATCAGTGCAGATGATTCAAGTCCAAATTCAAGTCCAGAATCAAGGAACCCTGACCATTTTTAGTCCCTGACCATTTTTAGTCCCTGACTGAGCACAGATGATCACCCTACTCTCTTATTAACTCCCTAAGGAGCAAGTTCCCATCTTCCATAGCAAACCATATGATCCCATCCCCTGTGTTTGTCTATCTAGAACTCCATTGTAAGTGGCAGGCCAAGGAGCTGTTATTCTTGGACACCTCTGCCAGCTCCACCCTGTCTGTCATTCCAGCACACTCAAGCCTCAGAGCACTGTGCATTCCTCAGACAGTGGGTGTCCATAGCCAGCACTGCTATGATGAGTGGATGCAACCATCCCATGTGGGTTCAAAGCTACCTGACTATACGCTTGTTGGATGGTGAATAGCCTGCACACCAGCTACAATGCAATTGGCTCCAAGTCATAGGAATGTTTTGGCATCTTAGAGCCAACCAAACTCGTGTCCAAAGAGCAAACCCTTAAGACTTCTATGAAACAAAACAGCTCCTCATTTCTAAGCACTTCCAAGACCATTTGGTTCCAACCCCCCGCCACAGACACTATTAGATCACATCACCCAGAGCCTCATTCAGCCTGGACTGTTCCAGGAATGGGGATTCAGATTTAAAAACACCCTGACAACTTTTCACATCGTATCATCCAGATTCAGCTGAACACAATACATAGAACTGAATGGGAAAGGAGATACTACGATTGTTTCAAACTACCCACCCACTTTTTTAAGTGTCTGTCTCTCCCTCTGCCTCTCTACACGAATTCACAGACAATGATCTGACAGCATGCAAGAAAATGCTTCTTTTTCCTGAAAGCTCTCTCTGAAGGTGGTGTTTCCCCACCTCCACATTGCTGACAAATGCTGATGTAAACAGCACACATATGCCCGCCTGAAAGGCCACAGGGGTTTTCACGTGAATCCTGTGTTTTTTCCACAAACCCTGTTACACCCTATTTCAGCTTAAAATACATCATCTCCTCTTTCTGGTTAACCTACAATCCTGTTAAGGCTCACAGAGTTTACAGTAGCAAGCAAAACCACTTAGCAGAAGATAAGCACTTCAGTTGCAGAACTCTAGCACGAAACTCTTTCAAGAAACTGGTTGAGCAGTATTAAAACAAAAGAAACCAATACGGAGATAAATCGTGCACTGAAATCATTAAAAACACCAGCCATGCCTTTGGCGTTGACAGGAGTAAAGCATGTCATTTGTAACACCACTGAAATCATAACAGGAAGGAAGTAGACCTCAGAAACTATAAACAGAAGTTAACAGAAGTAGGAAGTACTTCAAATGTTTTCATGTAGCGACTGTAGAAAGATACTAAAAGGAGAAAATATTTTCAGGGTTTGTCTTGCTTGCTTTTTTTTTTTTTTTTCCACTTTACTTATCCATTAGTTATTTTGAACAGTAAAAGATTGTTCCAAAAGTCAAACACAACTCAAAAGTCCCCACGTGTAAAATAATCTGTGGTACAAATCAAGGGTTTGATCTCTCTTTCACTCTCACCCTCCCCTCCCTTAGCCTCTCTGCTTGCTTACAGTAAGTCCTTCACCTGGATCTGGCTGCACGAAAGCTAAGCAAGTTCTGTATGACCAGGAGTTAGATGGCTTTCTTCTCCATTCCTCAGTTGCTTCTTCAAGAAAAATAATCAAAAGCTCATTCCAAAGCCAAGAATGATAACGCACCTTGATACTCAACATAAAATGCTCCACACCTTTCGACACCTCACAGATAGCTTTCCACACTTTTCTCTAAGCTAGTGAGTGTGACAAACCTCTTTGAGACCCTGACTTCCAGTGGGTGGATGACAGCTGCCTTGTGGCTGAGCTCTATTGAGTTGAGTTGAGCACAGGTCAGGATGCTGGGCTGAGCCAGAGGACATGAGCTAATATCCCTTGTTTTTCATAAGAGCAAAAATCCTTACCTTTTGACCTTTCCCTGCACTTTTGTCTAAAAATACAGTTCCCCAGAGCCTTATCCATCAGCATTGCCCAGGTTAGCGGTGTAGGACTGAGCTCAGTAGATTTGCCCCACTACTGAAAGCAACACATACAAATCGAATTGGTAGGGAATAAGGACTTTATTCTAAGACATGAGCTGAAGCAACGAGCATATGAAGCAACGGCCACTGGAAAAAACATCAGCTATTACATTTGTATCATACCAGTTCAGTTTGAACTCAAAAGTCCATCCTGGTAAAATGTATGCACAGACCAAAAGCATAGGCAGAAGCTCAGAAGGTCACCTAGAACAGTGCTTTTAATGTCTATGGAAGAGGTCTCCCCCATCAATCTTTAAGCCGGGAAAAACACCTCAGGCAACAAAGCAAAAATCATCCATTAATTCTGCTTGGCACTGTGGAGCAGGAAGGGGATAACATATCCCAAGAGAGTATGCATCTTTAAGATGTATAAGTTAGAAGTCCCTAGAAAACAAGTCTGCTGCCAGACTAAGTACCATTCATTTCTTCTTCATTTAGAAACTCAAGTGAAGTACATACATTAACCACAGGGAGGTCATACTCTGGAGCTGAAACAGTCTGATCTCCAGTGTAACAGCGAGGAGGATTTACTACCACACAAACTCAACAGACCCCTTCTCTTTGCCTCTGTGATGGCATTCTAGCACACAAAGCTGCCAATTGCATGAAGTCATACTTCTGTGAAGATTTTAAAACACACATTCAAAAAATTTTTTTCCTTGGCTTAGTTTGGGAGGCCAAGTTCTGCTCTCCTCAGTCTCCTTCATGTTCATTTCAGTATCAATGGAATGAAGCTGTGAGTGCACACCAAGAGTAGAGCTTGGCTCTGTACAGCCTGAAGTGCTGATCACTTCAGCTTGCCTCCTGTGTGTCATTAGCCAAGGGTAGCAAGACCATTCCCTGTGCTATTTTCAACATCTGCCAATTTAATTCTAATGCACATATATGTATAATGCATAGTAGTTTGCAATGGTAAGAAAATAAAATGTGATTTATTTTTAAATATGCTCTTTGGGACTCCAGAATTACAGTGGTTAATTCACTTTAATCCACAGGTAATGTGAGCTAAATGGTCATAACACAGTACCACAAACTGATCAGCTTAGAAACTGCAATCAAGGGGCCTAATCTAATACTAACAGTGGCAGCAAAGTGGCATTGTAAGGAAAAATGTCCGTCAGGTATTAAAAAAATATGTCTCTGAAGATTTACATTCTTTTTAAAAAATTCTACATACGAATATAGGTATGATGCTTACCAGTCTAAGTTTAAAACCACTTACATGTACAGCTATTCTCAATAAACCATCTACATTCGCTACCTACCTACAGTAGCTACAGCTTCAAACTGGGAACACCACAAATTTATGTACCTTCCCTGAGATCGTAATCCGAAATAAATAGCCCTGCCAATGTAACAGTGTAAACTCTGGATTTAAGTCTTCGGTAAGAATCAGTCCTCACAACACAAGGAAAACATTAAGCAAACGTAAACAGCAATCATTTCGTCAGTTTTGAGTTATTCCCAGCAACAGTGGAACTTATGTGAGATGTAGCATCCAAACGTTGAAGACCCGTCATTTGTATCATACAGTTTGGCTGTCCCAGTTCACTTTCCTATCATTGAACCTTTGATCCCCCAAACACATCCAGCTGTGATTTGGATCTCCAAATTGCTATCCAGATCAGCTCCTCCACTCTGCATAATCTTTACAGTGCCTTTAGAAACACTTATTCTGAGGATCTTATTCTTGAATAGAGGAATGGCGAATAGATCTGTGATAATCCTCTGGACTAGTCATGAGTTCTGGTAAATCATAGCCTCTCAGAAGATGTCCACTGTTTTGTTGCGCAAAGTAATACAGCTGCCTGGCAAACATGGGTTCAACCTTAAGAACAGACAAAATGTTAATCAGACATATAACAAAATTTCACAGTCCTCATGTAAGTCATTTACAGCGTTTTAAAATTAAAAAACAGGGCAGGACAAAATACCTCTGCTTGCCAGAATGGGAAAATAATTTCTGTGTTCTTACTGATCTCTCTTCTAAGATAGTACTTGCCTGTTCTGCTGACAAATGTTTTGCTAATTGCACACACACTTTATTTGCTCAGTCTTCATTTAGAGGAGCACGTTATCAGTGCAATCAGATGTAATTGCAATTGCACCCACATACACGAGCAATGTGACATATGACATGTCTGTGACCACTCAATGTGTTTAAATGCATACCCAGTGCTCTGCAAGTCTTATCTTCGTCCTCAAGAACTTTGAGGTCTTAAATTGAAATGTTCAGATATGCTTAGGTATGCCACAAAATAACTATCTTTTAAATTAGACTTCAACCTAACTACAAGGTTACTCTAAACTTATTTCCTTTAAGCTCTGCTGAGGCATCTTTTCAGCTGCTGCCCACCACCAAGAGAGACGTGTATGACTTAACGTTGCCTTCACTTCTATCTGCTTAGAAACCACTATTCCTCACCAGGTCTTTGGGCCCTGGCTGCAAATATTTAAGTTGCACACTAAGCACTAAAACTTGAAGCTCTCCTTATTCATTGCAGCTGGGCTCTTCTCTACAACCCCTACACATTAAAGACAGAGGCACCATTTGGGTGGAAGCATACACTTGCAGCAGGTCCTACCTGCAGAAAGGGACAGAGCCAGCAGGGAACCCTGCCACAGAGCAGTTCCACGAGCTGGGACAGCCTGTTCAACTTTTCAGGCTGAGGAGCAACCAGTAAGGCCCAAGCAAAGGTTGATTTAGGTGCTGTGCTACCGAGGGG